CTCTAGTAGACCTCTAACTCTTGTAGATATAAAAGGATAACAGTTAAAAATCCAACTATCAAAAAAACTTCCTCTCAGTCACTGAAAATAATTTATTTACCACATTTTAAAGACCGATTATTATCTGGGCCCTTAAGGGTTAATGCTCCAGAACGGGACTGTCTGTCTGACCTGCGGTGTGTGTGTAACAGAGGAGAGGAACTCCATGTTTGAGTCCAGCAGGACCTGTACAGCAGCTGATTCTGTCTGGATTTGAGTTTACAAACTACTCTGGTTACTTTTTTCAAAGTTGAGGGACATTACAGCTGCGCTGCTGATCAGCGCCATTTATAGAACATGAACGGACTCGCGGGAACCTGGTCGCACGCGGGTCTGTGGTGGTGGTTCTAAAGTATTGATAAGGTAACAGTGCTGTGGCTTCACCTGTCGCATTTTATTTTAAAGAAAGAAAAAGTAGCTTGCAAAGCTGTCGCATCGGTGCTACATGATTAAAAGCAGAGTTTTCATTGCGAGCGCACACAAGTCTTCCTATCTTTGTCAGGACCACAGACAGCGCTCAGCCTCGCTCTGCACCGTATTTTTTTCCCCAAGTTTGGCGAGAGGTGGATATGGAGGGGCGCAAAAAATAGCTCTGGACTTGATCTGGACTTATTTAAATARAAATGACTACATGCCRTGAAATTCTTAGAGGGGCAGGCCGTCTCGTTGGCTGGGGGGTGGGGTTTTGGGGTTGTATAATGGTAGGGGAAACACAGCAAGTAATCATTGGCTGTACATCAATGATTAACTTTTAGAGTCAACTTGATTCAATTTACACTCCTAATCTGTGACCCATCACATCTAAATGAGGATTAAGTCCAAAAGTGGTATATGGAGAAATAGGCAAATAGAGTGTTTTGATTAAAAAGTTTGCAAAAATTGCATTTTGTCAAAACATAATGAATAAATGCCTTATCATTGTATCATTTGAATGAACTTTCTGAAATATAATCATAAAACAAAATTAAGAAGCACTTTTTTGAGCAGTAGCAAGTATAATTTGAGGTTTCCTCTTTATAAGRACATCAAAAATTCCTCATTAAAGTTACATAAAATTAGGATTGAGACCAAATATTTATTATCGTAACCTACAAGACTATGGGATAAATCTTGTTCCAGCAGGAATTGAATTTAAATTGCTCAGATTGAATCTGAATGTGCATAAT